TGAATTTCACTGTGCATCGTTATATCGATTCAGTAAGGGATTCTCGATCGAGATATAAAGTGGATGTAGGACCAATAATAGTATGTCTGTTATAGTTAGGATACTATTCAGACGGAGAGCTGACAGTTTTTAAAGGTTTGTTGTTAAAAATGATCAATATCTGCCCATATTCAGAAGTATATATGTTAATAGAATTCAGCACAAATAGTTACGATTCTGAGGTCTGTTGAACTACTATTTCTTAGAGTAACAAACATCTGAACAAGCATATTATACCGTATCCACTATTATTGTATAGGGTTTAACAAAATTGTTATGAAAATTGCCTAAAAATACTAGATTTATTAGATATCGACATTTGTCTCACCTATTCAAAAATGAATCTCATGTATTAAGTATTTAAGTAGTTTGTTTTATTTTTTAATATATATATTTTTTTTAAACAAATTTGACGTGAGTTTAATTAATTTATATTTTGGGGTGATTCCCATTAAGTGAGGAAAACCCAGATTCCTAAATTGTAATTAAAATAGTTTAGTCATATATATAGTCAATGAATACAGTTAGAGCAGGTTATATAAGTACAGAAGATTTTTAAAATTTAATACTAAATTTAAAGCAACAAAACTGATAATTTCTTACTATATTCTACACCAAAATTCAAAGAATTTAAGTCGAATATCGGGTTTTAAAGTTATATTTATTTTCTAAATTTTAAACAGCATTAGTGTTGGTTCCCATCATCAATATGTTTTTTACCAAGTTTACCATATTTGCCCTTCTTTTGGAATCCTTCGGCCAACATTTGTCTGGTACCCAATATCGATATTATCACCACACTCAGCAAAAATAAATAAGATAACTGCATGGTGAAGCTACTGTAGTTGTAACAAGTTGCAATGTCAAATCGAAAATATGATTTCAACAAATGCATTTTGCAGCTTTTATAATTAACTCGTGGTTTTTAGTGGTTAGATTCTTTCGGTAAGAATACTGTGGTTAAAAGTGCAATTTAACCTTGTTGTTGGATATGCAATAAATATTTTTCAAAAACTATTTTTTAATTGTTGTATCGCCAGTGATTTTATAATAATTTTATCGGACGTTAATCGTGACTATCACCAGATTACAGTCGAATCTAAACATCATCTATATAGATCACACAATAATCTATACTATATATACGAAAAAAGTCGAAAGTATAGATCAACATGTAGTTCATTAAAGTATAGCTGAGACTGTAACCGATATACTATGTATAGTTAAGACTAAATATCAGAATATAGTCATGACTATAATCGAGACTATAGTCGAGACTATAGAATGTATAGAATTGTCTCGACAATAGTCTAGTCTTGACTATAGAATATACTATAGAATAGACTTTAGAATAGACTATAGTCGAGACTATAGAATAACCTATAGTCGAGACTATAGAATATACTATATAATATACTATAAAATAAACTTTAGTCGAGACTATAGAATGGACTATAGTCGAGACTATAGAATAGACTGTAGTCGAGACTATAGTCGAGACTATAGAATAGACTATAGTCGAGACTATAGACTAGACTATAGTCGAGACTATAGAATGGACTAAGTAGAGGCTATAGAATAGACTATAGTCGAGACTATAGAATAGACTATAGTCGAGACTATAAAATAGACTAAGTAGAGACTATAGAATAGACTATAGTCGAGACTATAGAATAGACTATAGTCGAGACTATAGAATAGACTAAAGTCGAGACTATAGAATAGACTATTGTCGAGACTATAGAATATACTATAGTCGATACTATAGAATATACTATAGTCGAGACTATAGAATAGACTATAGTCGAGACTATAGAATAGACTATAGTCGAGACTATAGAATAGACTATTGTCGAGACTATAGAATATACTATAGTCGATACTATAGAATATACTATAGTCGAGACTATAGAATAGACTATAGTCGAGACTATAGAATAGACTATAGTCGAGACTATAGAATAGACTATAGTCGAGACTATAGAATAGACTATTGTCGAGACTATAGAATATACTATAGTCGATACTATAGTCGAGACTATAGAATAGACTATAGTCGAGACCATAGAATAGACAATAGTCGAGACTATAGAATAGCCTATACTCGAGACTATAGAATAGCCTATACTCGAGACTATAGAATAGCATATACTCGAGACTATAGAATAGACTATAGTCGAGACAATATAGAATAGACAATAGTCGAGACTATAGAATAGCCTATACTCGAGACTATAGAATAGCCTATACTCGAGACTATAGAATAGATTATTGTCGAGACTATAGAATATACTATAGTCGAGACTATAGAATAGACTATAGTCGAGACTATAGAATAAACTATAGTCGAGACTACAGAATAGACTATAGTCGAGAATAGACTATAAGCTATAACAGACTATAGTCGAGACTATATAATATAGTATATCCGATAGTCTCGACTATAGAATATACTATAGTAGAGACTATAATCTCGACTATTGAATAGACTATAGTCGAGACTATAGAATAGACTATAGTCGAGACTATAGAATAGACTATAGTCGAGACTATAGAATAGACTATAGTCGAGACTATAGAATAGACTATAGTCGAGACTATAGAATAGACCATAGTCGAGAATAGACTATAGTCTAGACTATAGAATAGACTATAGTCGAGACTATAGAATAGACTAAGTAGAGACTATAGAATAGACTAAGTAGAGACTATAGAATAGACTACAGTCGAGACTATAGAATAGACTATAGTCGAGACTATAGAATAGACTATAGTCGAGACTATAGAATAGACTATAGTCAAGACTATAGAATATACTATAGTCGAGACTATAGAATAGACTATTGTCGAGACTATAGAATAGACTATTGTCGAGACTATAGAATATGCTATAGTCGATACTATAGAATATACTATAGTCGAGACTATAGAATAGCCTATACTCGAGACTATAGAATAGATTATTGTCGAGACTATAGAATAGATTATTGTCGAGACTATAGAATAGACTATAGTCGAGACTATAGAATAGACTATAGAATAGACTATAGTCGAGACTATAGAATAGACTATAGTCGAGACTATAGAATAGACTATAGTTGAGACTATAGAATAGACTATAGTCGAGACTATAGAATAGACTATAGTCGAGACTATAGAATAGACTATAGTCGAGACTATAGAATATACTATAGTCGAGATTATAGAATATACTATAGTCGAGACTATAGAATACCCTATAGTCGAGGCTATAGAATACCCTATAGTCGAGACTATAGAATACCCTTTAGTCGAGACTATAGATTACACTATAGTCGAGACTATAGAGTATAGTATAGTCGAGATTATAGAATAGACTATAGTCGAGACTATAGAATAGACTATAGTCGAGACTAGACAATAGACTATAGTCGAGACTATAGAATAGACTATAGAGTATACTATAGTCGAGATTATAGAATAGACTATAGTCGAGACTATAGAATAGACTATAGTCGAGACTATAGAATAGACTAAAGTCGACAATAGACTATAAGCGATAATAGACTATAGTCGAGACTATATAATATAGTATATCCTATAGTCGAGACTACAGTTACGAAGTCGAAACCATAGAATAGAAATTCTTGCTTTAAGCTGAACTTACATATTTCACCTTGACTGTTTTCATTCATACGATAAATCTATGGCTCTTAACGTGCAAACATGTCAATAACCATTAATGGTAGTTGTAAAAATCTATTTTTTAAAATCTCTTATCGTGATTTTATTGTTATTCTGAAACTATGTGCATTAATTAAAATGATTTCTACGAAAATATACTCCTACTATTGTAATAGGATTTAAATGACAATATTAACGAACGTTTTCTTATCAGTGTTAGATCCATAAAGCAGATACCACGAATTGGGTATAAAAACTTCTAGTAGAGAGTGTTGAAATCGTAGTTTAATTTCGAAACAGTAACTTATTACAACAGCAGTTAAGCGATGCAGTTCTCCTATTTGATTTTGTTATTTGTGGTGATTGTTTCAATTGTCGGTACAAATCGTATGTTGGCCGAGGGAACCTATAAGAAGAGCGGCGGAGGAGGTGGTGGACGCAAATATGGCGGTGGTGGTAAAAAACATGGCTAATAAGAAGGACCACTTCTATTGAAATATAAAATTATGTTTAAAAACTTTTAAAAATTGTTAAAAGGGAATGAATAAATAAAGATATAACATGTAAAAGAAACATGTGAAGAAAGGAATGTGTGTATATTCTGATTTTATTCGACCTGTTATGGTACAATTTTGATTGAAATCCAAAAATAGTGTTCTAAAATAAAGAATTTGGTGCTTTGATTTTACAGGCTATAGTCAGTCTACATATTCGATTACAGTAAAAACTATAGACCAGACTTTAGTCAAAATCAGGCTCTAGACTAAACTATATATATAAAACTAAACTATATATAAAAGGGAGCTTTAAAATCATGGACCGATTTCAACCAAAGTCTAATATTTTTAAAAATTGCAATCTAATGTTTGATTGCAAGTTGTGGAGCTCTGAAAAATATTATGTACCGACTGGTACTTTAAGTTACCTGTAAAACCCTTATTTAAGCGCATGATACTCTAAACTATTTGGTTTAAATCTGACATGGATAATGCAGCACTATTAGATTTCCTTCTGCTCTAATATATTGCTTTACCATGACAGCACATTTGATAAATTACTTAATAGGCCCTTAATAGGTTAGCCCCCAAACCAATCAATA